TAAGAGGATATACACATTAAGAAGTTATTTAATCAACATACACACATACGTACATAAGTAAATGAATGGATCAAATAGTTGCTTCCAAACAGTAACTGAAGTACAACTGTTGTTCTTTTAAAAATTTGGCTTCGAATATTTAGTTAAATATTTGCCCGCTGTGGCTCAGGGGTTACCCTGGTCCGAGCAACATCAAAATCAATTTTTTCTCTAACAGCAGTAGAAAACGGAACATACATATGTATGTATGTATGTTGATTGAATATGGGTACTACATATCGCTCATTTACTTCAATAGTGTCATAACTCAATAAAGCAAAACTTGAGAAAAGCGGCTTTAAAGTTTTGAATTTGCATATACATTTACTCCTTTGTATAGTAAAACTGAATACTTATGTATGTACATACATATTTGGTTCTAGTAAGATACTGGTAATCGATGCAGCTATGAAATTTGTACACAACATGGAATAAGAGGCAGGGCTAAGTTCTGCATACTCAACTCAAAATGTTTCAGTTCATTATACATATATTTATATATGTACATTAGGATGCGTCACTCTCCTTAACAACAAGCGGTACGGTGGTTTTTCGAACGGAAATATAAACCTTGTTATATTTGAATTCCTCCGCCAAAGTCTTTCGGAAAAAATATTAAGATTTACGTTAGCTGGAAGCACTTGAAAATACCTCCAAAATTTTACTTTTTTATACATAAAAAAAATTAGTTTTAAAAAAATTGTTTTTTTCTAAAAAAATTTCCCCAAACGATAGAAGAGCTTAAGCTTAAAAGTTTAAAAATCGTATCAGCAGAACCAAAATAATGATGTTTGTGAAGTTATTTAAAAATTGGTCTTGATCACGTAAATTTTAATATTTTTCCGAAATATTTTAACTCAAGTCTTTAAATATAGCAGATTATATAACTCAGGTGGAAAACTTGCAATTTTTTTTGGTTATCTACCCTAATGAACGTACATGTATTTCGAGGTTCCAAAATTTAATTTTATTTTTAATTTAATTGTTTCATATAGAATTTTCAAGGCACACTAATCGACAAAAAATAACCACGGCATTTGATATATCAATTTCATGTAAAATTTTACGCTGCATTCAAACGTGAAGTCAGAATGTAAAAAGGTGTGTAAATAATCGCTTTTGAGTTATGGCCAAATTTTGGGTTTTTTTTATCTCACTAACTTAAATGTAATTATCTTGAAGTATAGACGGGCAATCTGAAATTTCCTTTCATATTGATGATCCTTCTACATTTGTATGACAGTTTTTATTTATTTTTTTCTTAACTGGTTATACTCACTTAAGATATTAGTAATTCAATATAGATTAGCTGGGTGTTTTTGTATACGATCAAGATCAAACTTGCACGCTTAAGAAAGAAATCGGATTAAAAAAATATTTTTCATTGGGCACGTTCAGAAGGCGCAACAGCTCAGTAACTGTTGCGATTGCACCTTCTGAACGCGTTGTTCTCTACTTCTGATCAACTGAAAAGTTGCGTGTTAGATGATCGTAATATTTTTCTGATCATTTGAGACAACATGTTGGTATGTTACTTTGAGAGTGGAATTTGAAAGTTATTGTATCAAGTCGTTCAGAAAACGCATAACGATCACTGATTTTTTTAGCAACGGTTGCACTCAACTGCTGCGCCTTCTGAACCTACCCATTGTCAAATTTTATTGTATTGCCATACCTCAAAAACGATTTAACTTTTTTATATTCTGACTTGATATTATGTTCAGAGTAAAATTCTAAATTACATTGATTTATCGAATCAATAAAAACCAAATTTTTGGACCCAGAAATTCATCTTAGACTTGCACATGGTTCTGTGTCTGAAAAATATAAGCTTATAAATACCTACTTGCCATAATTTTTTTGAAATTTTGATAAGGTTGTTAAAATATTTCCATCTCAACTTCATACTTTGTTGAAAATTCACTGTACCCGCGGGCTCTAACAGGAACCCGCCGGGCTGCTACATTAAGCTCGGCCCATGCCCATCTCTCGTCTAATGAGGATATGTTGTGATCTTCGAATTAGCTGCTTCAACTTCTAACGCTCAGACTTCGTTGCTTTTCCCATTTTTTTTTTAAAAAAATCGTGGAACAAATCTCAATAACACTGTAGTAACAAACTTATGTACGCCACAATAATAACACTACATTTTTTTTAATCAACATGCCAACGGGAATGAGGGAAAACGTTCTGAGCTGCAATTTCCAGCTTTCTGTTTCATAAAAAGGAATTAATTGGGAAAGCGGTGTCCGGTGTCATAGCAAGGAAAAACATGATTTTAAAAGTGAGCCAATAGTAATGAATAAAGAATCGTTGAATATAACGATGGTCCTGTGCAATAACGACACAATTCAAAATTCAAAAGATAAAAACTGTTACAACTGTTAAGTGGTTAATGTCTTTAACCCTTGTCGAACCTACATATTTCTAATCTTTTGTACTTACTTTAGCAATCCTTACTGCTTACTTTAATAAGGGATGGAAATGGATTGCACAAGGATTCGAGACAAGAGCCACTTAACATTAGGAACAGTTTTTGTTTTTTGAATTTTGAATTGTGTCGCTATTACACATGCCCATCGATATATGAAATATTTGTTTTTATAATATCCTATTTCAATTCATGGAAGTAAAAGTTAATTTTACTGTTGTTCCTTTGTATGTACTAAATTTGTATTGTTATTGAATAAAGTTTAATTTTTAATTAATAAAAGTTATTAATTTGGTATTTTCGACGTTTTTTTTTACATTATGCTTTTACCATTTTCTCATTACTTTCATATTATTTTTGGTTTTCAAGTCCTGTACTGCTTTGAGCAATGATATGGTTGGTCACATTACTCATACGCCATGTAGAGTATGTTAATATTTTTCCCTTTTAAAGTTTCAATTTATTTTCATTCACAATACAAACTTAAAATGGAAATGTCGTGGGAAAATGATCTGATCTAGAAAAACAGTATACAGATCCGCAATTCGTGGAATATTCGAGCACAATGAAAAACATATGTTAATGATTTCCAGCTGGTAGTGCCGCATTTCTGTTGCAAGAAAGTTTTTATACTAATTTTGCAACAAATGCCACATTTGCAATAATTTTGCAACGGTTCATAAATCGCACAAATAGTTTGGTGATTTCTTTTCTTTGTTAAGTGTTTGGCCGAGCTCCTCCTTTATTACTTCTGCTAAATCTATGATCACAGTCACACGGCAAAAGTCGATTGGTTTGACATCACTTTAAGCAAAAGTTAAATTGTTAGTGTTTTAACATTTAAAGTAATAAAAGAAGAGAACATTTATAAAATTAAAACGTCTGTAAAATTTTTAAACGTTCTCTGATAAAAGTAATATATACATGTATATATATACATATGTATTCCATAAGCATTTGTTCAGCTAAACTTTAGCAATACGGTAACCAAGCCAACCAAAGCTCACAATGTTTAAAAGCTTACGATTTGGTGTAATGTAAATTTAGCAGTAAGCTTAAATAAGCACACGTATAAAGATTCAATTTAAAAAGGAGCTTTTCGTAATTTCTTATATTGGAAAATTTAGTAGCTTTTTGGAAAGCATCACACTGTTTTAAATGCATGCACAACAGTACAGCGTAAAATAAAAGAAGCGGTTGCAGTAAATAAAAGATATCAAAGTGAAATGAAGTGTACAACAAAATCAACCTTTTTTCAAAGTACCAAGTTTGCGACAATGGATTCTGCTCAAAATCAGGAACCGAAAATAGCCCATAAATATCGAGATCTTTATTTTCAGATACATAATTGCAAAATTGTAACAAAAGTCCACGTATTTGTCCGTTTTCGGTAATTTTTGGATATGTTTTGTATGAAAGCTGTGCTAAGTATTTGTCGGGTCACAAAAATAATTTTATTTTCGGATTATTCACACCAAAAACTCTCCAGTACGAATTTTCGAAGGCATCGAAAATCGTAAAATTTCTCTCAAAAAACGAGTTCCGCCTAAAAACATGAATTTGATATAAAAATTACAATCACTACTGAATTCAACGTAGGGGAATTGAATTTACTAGTCACAAAACTAACCATTATTCTTTTTTGAAAAAATCATAAGATAATGGTTTAATGTGATTGGAAAAATAAAAATACAATTTTAACGTTAAATTATGACCGTTTATTATAGAGATCATAAATGTTACGCTTCCTGCTCAAAATTCAACTTAAACGCCAGAAATAAGTTAAAACTAAAAATGTATTTATGGTTAATTTCTTACCTATTTGGAACTTGAACCAAAATATCTAACGAAAACATAGTTTAGAGGATAAATGTTTTTATGGTTAATTTCTTACCTATTTGGAACTTGAACCAAAATATCTAACGAAAACATAGTTTAGAGGATAAATGTTTTTTGAGCAAAGCTTTTCGTAAAATTTCACTATAGTTCACAGAGTGTGATGAATCACTACACAGTCAAGTTATTGCGGTTTTCTCCGCACACCCTATCTGCATAAATATGCATAAAGCGGATTCCCAGAAAATATAAAAACTAAACAAACTTGACTTAGCTGCGAGATTTTTAATTACGTATGCTCTTTAATTGAATATACTCTAGCAAATCAAAGCGATGTCAATCTGATGTCGCATGATGAATCATCACATCACATCTCACAACACCGTCACATCAACATTATACATAGGTATACGTGTTCAAGCGCGTACTTGCCCATATCGATTCTCACTTCAGAAAATAAATTAAAAATATATACTAAATACATAAACATTGTGGATTGCTTATCAGCTGTGTCATCCATGTCAGCGTCAGCTCAGGTCAATATAGTGCTTAGTAGATAGGCGGAGTATAGTAAAAGTGAAATACATATACATACATACATAAGTAAAAATAAATCAAAAAATACAATAACACTGTGTACAATGAGTTCGAAACCAAAGCTCACCGTGCAACTTTCAATTATTTGCTGCGGAGACATCATTACTACTCAGCTTTGGAGCAACAGCGTTTAGGGCTTTTGCTGACTTCCAGTGACGAGTAGCGGCGCCGACTCCAGCAGGTGTGCATTTCGGTATTGGGCCAAATTGACAACAAAGATGACAACAAAAACTAATCGCGAGTGTGCCAGCGGAGGTGAAGGGAAATGCGAAGCCACAGCAGCAGCTGCTGAGCAACTTGAGCAGCTGAGCGACTGAGCGGCCGTGGAATTGTGGCAGTTATTAAATCGTCGTGCTGTTAATAACAACGCAGCGCGCGTGTTGCTGTATTGAAAGAAAAATTTATATAGAAGTACTTATAAATATATTTTCTTAAAGTTTATTTTACAAAAAAAAGGTTTGTTAATTTACTGAATTGAAAGAACTGGTTTTTGACGCCGTAAAAAAATATTTGCTTACAACCGATCGAGTTTCGCGCGCTTGCTTGTGATTTTTTCAGTTATTAAAACAGTACACAATTTGAGAAGTTTACATATAAACATACTTATGTACATATGTATGTGCATACATATAAGCTATGTGCATTCAAACATACAAACAAAAAAAAAGAATTTGTTTATAAGCGTTGCAGCGCGCTTTTTGAAGTGAAAGTGACGATTGTGGATTGTTCAGTTTGTTTTTTCATTTTCTCATTTTAATTTTTTTTGCAACTTAAATTTTATTGTTGTTGGTGTCATGAGCTAAAATCGCATTACAAAGGCAGCAAGCAGCATTTTCGCTACCTTCTCTGTGGTCTATTGACTTTGTTGTTCAATAACTTAGCAAAATTATTATTCTTAAGCCGAAGGTCAAATTAGCTTTGTTGACTTCAGGCAAACTTTTTTTTCTTTTCTGGCACTTAAAATGCATACTTTTTAACATATTAAATATGTATGTACACGTGTTTGCATTGTGTGGATTATCTCTCAACTACTCAGGCACGTACCACATTATTTATTTGTGTACAAACAACTATTCATAAAAACTGTTTGTAAAGTGTATTTACTTTGAGTTAACACAATTGAGTTTGAATGGAAGCTATTCTTAGCAAATGTAAACAAGCAGCCAAAAGAGAAGAAAAAAAGTTAAAATTAAAATATATCAATAAACACTTGTTGTGCTTGCTGCTACCCTATAGGCGCTTATCAACGAAATTATCAATTTAAAACATGGTATTTTCTTAAGTTTTGCTGATTACACCCATATTTAATGAGTTTGTGCGTTTATGTGTAACTTTGTTTCTTTTTTTTTAAATTACAATATATATCTAGTACCTACTCTTTGTTGGTAGGAGCTAAATTTATTACAAAACAAAGTTTATCGCATCCAAATACAAAACAACAACAACATGAGCGCAGTCGATGCGGTGTTAAGCTTCAAGCGAAGTCCCGATGAGGACTTTTACGCCATACTCAACTGTGACGAAAATTCTTCGGTAAGTTGTCGATAACTCCTTATCTTCATCTTTATATTCATTTTTACCTTTCTTCGTTCTTATTGGCGCTCTAACCACCTCAGCTATTTCGGCTAAGTCCAAAATAGCACGCCAGTCGTTTCTCTTTTGCGCCAACTGACGCCAATCGGAAATGCTGAGGGCCAGTTTTTCAGTGAAAGACCGTGATTTAAACTGAGTATAAACGCTCTTTTTTGGCTGGTTTAAACTAAGATCAGACAATCAAATGTCAGCCAGCCGTTAAATTTAAACTCAGTTTACTTAATCTAAGTTTAAACTGGCACTGAAAAACTGGTCCTAAGTGAAGCCCAGTCATCATATACCTGGTCTTTCCAACGCTGATAAGAACTTTCTCTGTTAGCAGAATCGCGACCCGCGTTGAATACTTTCAAAGCTGGAGAGTTTATGCCCAGTCGAACGACATGACCTAGCCAGCGGAGCCGCTAGATTTTAATTCGCTGAGCTATGTCTATATCGTTGTAAAGCTCAGACAGCTTATCGTTAAATCGTCTGCGGTATTCGCCATCACGAACGCGCAGAGCCCCGTAAATCTTCGGCAGAACCTTTACCCAGAAAACTCCAATAGCCGCTTCATCAGATGTTTTCTTTGTCCATGCCTCCGCACCATACACCTGCACGGGCATGATGAGTGACTTATGGAGTGTGATTTTTGTACGACGAGAGAGAACTTTACTTCCCAATTGCCTACTCAGTCCATATTCATATTCATCTTCATCTTCATCTCCATTTGTTGGCAAGAGTGATTCTCCGTTAGATTTCTTAACCCTTTCCTGTATCCTTGTGTTTACCTTTATCTTGATCTTCATCTTAATCTTATTCTTCATCACATTTTCATCTTCATCGTCATCTTCATCTACATCTTCATCTCCATCTCCATCTCCATCTCCATCTCCATCTCCATCTCCATCTCCATCTCCATCTCCATCTCCATCTCCATCTCCATCTCCATCTCCATCTCCATCTCCATCTCCATCTCCATCTCCATCTCCATCTCCATCTCCATCTCCATCTCCATCTCCATCTCCATCTCCATCTCCATCTCCATCTCCATCTCCATCTCCATCTCCATCTCCATCTCCATCTCCATCTCCATCTCCATCTCCATCTACATCTACATCTACATCTACATCTACATCTACATCTACATCTACATCTTCATCTCCATTTCCATCTCCATCTCCATCTCCATCTCCATCTCCATCTCCATCTCCATCTCCATCTCCATCTCCATCTCCATCTCCATCTCCATCTCCATCTCCATCTCCATCTCCATCTCCATCTCCATCTCCATCTCCATCTCCATCTCCATCTCCATCTCCATCTCCATCTCCATCTCCATCTCCATCTCCATCTCCATCTCCATCTCCATCTCCATCTCCATCTCCATCTCCATCTCCATCTCCANTCTTCATCTTCATCTTCATCTTCATCATCTTCATCTTCATCTTCATCTTCATATTCATCTTCATCTTCATCTGCATCTTCATCTTCATCTTCATATTCATCATCATATTCATCTTCACCTTCATCCCAAAATTTTTCTAAAATTTTCCTAAAATTTCTTGAAAATCCACTTTTTGCTAACCAACGACTGTATATGTCAATTTTGAATAAATATTGATGAACTGCTAAAAAAAAACTGAAATTCTAGTACATACACACGTATACATAAAATCAAGGCCGTAAATAGATTTAATTTTAGATAGTACTCCATATTTTGAAATTGTAGAAATTTTCGATAGTAAAAATTTAAAAAAGATTAGAGAAATAGCAGTCTTATTTTAATTTACCCGAAAAAAAATCTCAACAAGCCAAATCCGACAATATACTATTATATACCATTCCATATATTCTCTTCTCAGATCATATTTGATCTTTAAAATCGAATCAAAAATAGTCATTCAAAAACTCATAAATCTACAAAATCGTATTTTCTGACCTAAATCGACAGGTCGCGACCTCTAAATGGCCTTTAAAAAATCTATAAAAATCGGAATATTTCCCATAAAAACGAATAAATTCCAAAAAAAAAAACACATTTTCGATGGGCATCTGAATTTATGCATATTTTCATCTTAACGCACTCTGCAGCCCTCAATGAGTTGATTTTGGGCGAGTTTACTGATACAAATTCCTCTCGAACTCGTTGTCTTAAGATGGGGCTCCATAACTTTAACTTGTTGATTCGCAGAAGCACATGTAGAAAATAAATATTAAATATAAATATATATAAAGAAGTTCTGCGCAAAAATATTTATTTTATATTTAATATTTTATTATATATATTATAAATATTAAATATTTTATTATATATATTATAAATATTAAATATAAAATAAATATTTTTGCGCAGAACTTCTTTCTGCGCAGGCGGCCTTCATAATTTAATTATTCTTAATTTGAATTTTAATGTTATTTTTTACGAAACTCCCATATGCGGACATCTCTCCCTCTTTGCACTAGGCAATTCAATTAAAGCTTTTAAGATGTTCAACAAATTAGGGACGGTATAATAATGATATTATTTTATTTGTAAATTTGTCTTCGTACATGTGTATATCTGTATGTAAGTAAATACATGTATTATTTGTAGAGGTATTTATGCTTACGTAGTACATTGATTTGGGTTTGAAATTGTGGCAAACAAAGCCTCAACCAGTATTGCCATACATGGGCTTTTCCTACCAAAACTGGTAGGTTTTTTACATATGGTAGGCTAGGCTTATTTCATTTTTTAGGAAATGAAGCCCGCGGGCGTTATTGCCATATCGAAAGGGAAATAATGTCCACCGGCAAAAAGCAATAAAGCCCGCGGGCTCAATTTCTTTTTCGATAAGGCAGTAACGCCCGGAAATAAAGACCATGGGCGTTATTTCCGCGAGCCTTATTGCACTCCACCGCTTTGGACGAGTGTTCGGCATATCAACCAATTCAAACGATTCAATAAGTGAGACTATGTGCGTTAAATGCACTGTTCAGCTGGCGCTCTTCGTATATGTGTGAAAAACACATGTGCTCAGAGAACGCTGAGTGAGCTATAGCTTGCCGACCAATCTTTTAAGACGGCTGTAAAACTCTTTTGAATCACCTGTAAGCCCAAAATAGCGTAACGCTGTGGTGGGTTCCGCGACATGAAGGCTGACTGTCTCGCAAAGCGTGGAGCCCAAATGCGCTTGCGTGGTCCCGAGCCTTTTTTGGCTGCCCACGTATCATGAATATCAGAGTGACACGCCTTGGGGGACGATTGTCCTCTCCATTTTTCTCCAAATTTGAAATAACGCGCCCTCCAAAGTTCTTAACTTCTTAAATATCCTAAGGTTGGAGTGATTTCAATTAGCGTTTAGCACAATACATATTTTTAGGTTGTAGCTCAAGTATTCCAGACGTATTCATAATAACGATATGTATGTGTAAAGAGACATAGTACATTTGTGTAAGTCCGTACACATAGGTTAGGTTAGGTTAAGGTGGCAGACCCGCAAAGGGGACTCACTTAGACATTTGATTGTCCATTGTGATACCACATTACATAGGAACGGTAACTGCGTAAAAATTACGAGAAGCGCTGGGTGCTCATAATGAAGTTCTTCAAACAGCTGATGTCCACTCCGGAGAGTCCCTCGGGAGTGTCGATGAAATGCGCACCGAGATGCTTAAACCGTAATCTAGCGAATGCCGGGCAGTTGAGTAGGAAGTGCTGAGATGATTCCACCTCGTCTTCCAGGCAACTGCGGCAGTAGGGATCCGTGACGATATTGAGTCGCACCGCGTGGGTTCCCATTGGACAGTGTCCGGTCAGTACACCTGTGAAAATCGAGAGCTGACGCTTAGCCAGCTGCAGCAGTTCCCTTGACCGCCCGCGGTCCACAACCGGCCAGAAGGACCTTGCAACTCTGCAAGTCGGGGTTTTTTCCCAGCGCTCGCTGAGCCGACCATGAGCCCATCTGTCCAAAAGCAGGCCGCAGGTTGCCAACGGAACTCCAATTCCCTCCCTATCCGAGGTGATGGCCTCAAGGGTGCCTTGCCTGGCCAGTTCATCAGCCCTGCAATTTCCCGCGATATCACTGTGCCCCGGGACCCAAATCAGCTTGATCTGGAAGTACTCCGAGGCAGTTGAGAGAGAGGTCAGGCATTCCCCAACCAGTTTTGAGCACACCATTAGCGATCCCAGCGCCCTGATTGCCGCCTGGCTATCAGTATATATATTTACCCTCCTTTTTGACAGTACATTGGTGCGTAGCCAATCGGCTGCCTCCTTTATAGCGGCCACCTCTGCCTGAAAGACGCTGCAGAGATCCGGCAGTCTGAAAGTAAGATCTACTGAGAGTTCCTGACAGTAGACACCTCCTCCAACTCTCCCTTCCAGCTTCGATCCGTCCGTAAAGATGTTTATTGGACCTCTTCTCCAAAGACCACCCCTCTTCCATTCATTCCTAGAGGGGATGTGCGTGGAGAAGGATCCTTTAGGGGCCAGCCTCGGGTGACCCCGGTCCATTTCTTTCGGCACGAAGTCGAAGCTTTCGAGAATTGTCGAGTGTCCGTGCGCTGGATTGAAAGAGAACCCAGAGCTTTTGAGCCTAATGGCTGAGCGAACCGCCGCTACTTTGCCCGAAATATCGACAGGTGCGACATTGAGTATAGCGTTTAGCGCTAAGGTGGGAGTGGTTCGGAGCGCCCCGCTGATCCCAACGAGGGCTGCCCTTTGCACGCGCTCTAGCTTCCTAACATGAGTGGTCTTTTCCAGTGAACTCCACCAGACGATGACCCCATACAACATTATTGGCTTAATTATGGTTTCATATAGCCAATACATCACTTTTGGGGAGAGGCCCCATCTCTTCCCTATGGCATTCTTGCAGCAGTAGAGGGCCACCGATGCCTTCCTCACTCGTTCCTCAATATTAGGTTTCCATGACAGTTTTCCGTCCAGGATCACGCCCAAGAACTTGACCCTGTCAGAG